TTATGAAGTCGAACAAGAGATAAGGAAAGGCAAAAAGTGAGTGTCGTCGCTCCGGGAAATGTACGGCGCCCTTACAGCACTAGAAACGGAGCTGCAGCGTCAACGGGAAGCCCGGGAATGGTTTCAAGGACAAACTTTTAACTGGGACAAGCAGCAAGTCAAATCGCCAATCGAAGAATTTCCAGAAGAAGCAACGCGCCAACGACATGAGTCCGACAAATCGCCAGGTCGTGGAATGATAGGCCTTCTAAAGAGGTCAAAGATTCCATTGCACAGTTGAGACTCGAGATGTATCAACAGCAGGAACAGATTCGAGGATGGTTCGAAACTCTATACGAGAACGTAAAAGAAATAGTGGCACAGAAGAGGAACAAAAGCGCTCAGACCATGAAAGAGGAGATCCAGGAACAGTGCGGATGTCTGCACCAAGATATGTAGTGCCTGGAACAGCAGTTCGTCGGCTTGGCCTCACAGATTAAAGAAGAAGCGGAATTTAGGAACAAGGAAGCCGCCAAGATGTTAAAACGAATTGAAAATCACGAGAACGAGTACAAGGCCGACCACCATAGAGGCGTCACAGAGATAGCAGCACGGATGGGAGGAACCAACCCGCAAATGTAGCTCGTAACGTACCGGACCGTACACGGTCCCGAGAACCGAGCTCGCGACGGAGCCACTGAAGATGTTCAAGACCAGGGGGAAGCCCGAAAGCGAAAGCGGCCAATCCCGGAAGCGACAAACAAGCCAAATTTTGAGCAGAAGTATAAAATGCTCATTGTCGAGTACAGACGAACGGGAGGGTCTACAACGGAAAATACATTCGCTTTTGTGCTCCGAAAGATGACTAAGCGACAAGGGAAACGGAAATGGACTCCCCAAGTGCGTGTTCTGCAAGGAGTACGATAGTCACTATTCAGACGCTTGTCCTCGAGTGCGGCTATCAAGGAGTGGCTCTACTGGATAATGAACGAAGGTGTCATCGTTGCTTGGAAAGGCAGATCCACCGCTGCCCACGCACATACTGTTTTTATTGTAAAAACAGCGAGAAAGGAGCGGCGGACGACCACCACACCGCTATCTGCACCCTGGATGAAGTCAAGCGCTTACGTCTACTATACGAGGAAACTCAAGCACGGTCAAGGATTCCTAAATGGAGTTGAAGAAAGTGGAGGAAGGACGAACGACGGATCACAGAGATGCAAGTCACAGCAACGAAGATCCGGGTCCCTCTTCTCGATGCTGAGGAGTATACAAATTCTTCGCATTCGTATTCCACTGCGCCACGCACAAAAAACACTTGCCTCGCGCGGCCGATCAGCTGTGTTTCCCAGGGCTTATGTTTTTTAGGCTTATAAGTATGCTTAACGGTAGATTCTTGGCATTTGTTTACGTTCTATCGCGTATACAGGTAGAGAATATAAGTTAGATGCCATGTTTGCTCTTAGTTGCTTAATTTTTCCTTCATTTATTTGTTACCTGCTTTCTTGTGTTCTTGCTTCACAGAGTAACAGTTTCACAGCCTCACAGTTTCACAGCTTCGCGGACTAGACTCTTTCACAGTGTCACAGAATCCTTTGAAGTCATCATACTGACTGGTAGTCATGGTCGCTTGTGTAGATATTTAGTATTATTACAATAAAGTTTAAATACCCAAGTTTGAGTTCGAGGTATCGTTGTGCGCACGAAGCAAACTAGACGGCAAAATCCGTGGCAGAAATCACAGTACTGAACATCCGTTCACTATACAATGTCATGGATGAATTGATCTTGATTACGGTAAACTGTTTTTTCTTTTCAGATCTGGAGGTTATTACCTACTAGCACAGATGAGTGTTCAGTGAATGCGCAGATTAGTTTGCGTTTTTATCCCACATCTGACTATTACAACATATACTTTATACAGAACATGAACTCGGTAAGGCTAATTTTCCTAGCTATCTAGCAACTGTCGACTATTCTTTTAGACTCTTGCCAAGACAAGATGCACTGTACTTTCTTTAGAGAACTCGAGAAACTCGGCAGCGGAAGAGAAGCTTTTAGTGGGTGTGAAGTTCTTACAGCGCCAGCTGCCATTCGTTCAATGACTGTTATGTTCAGGTAGAAAACGAAAAATGTCACCTGATTGCCATCTCCGACACCCGAA